CTACTGAATCTCCAAGGTGTAATATTACACTAATACACATAAATTTTATTATAATAACTACTTTTTGAGATCTAAGTACATGAGTATTATATTTACATCACTTGAACCCTTCCAACTCCTCCTATATTACCCCCATTCCTTCTCAATACTTACCTCTTCTTTAGTTATTGTTACCTATATACATATATGTGTATATATTTATATAAACAACATTTATATTTAAACAATTATATATAACTGAGTCCATTTAGCATTGCTCATAGGTGCACGTGCTAAGGGATGAGCACTTTGGACTGAATAAACTTATCAGGGAGCTCATCCCTGAAGAAAATTGATTGTCTTTCTCTCTGAGCAGCCATTGATGTCCTGTAGCTCTTCATCAAGAGGTGCAACTTTGTGAAATTTACTCCTCCTCCATCTTGGCATGCCAATTGGTGTTGTCATCATGCAGGTCTTGTTATGAGAAAAGATTTCATGGATGCAGCTTTCCTGTTATTTCAAGAAGACACTCTCTAGCCACAGGTGTCCTGGTCCTCTGGTTCTTACAAACTTTCCACGCCTTTTTCCACAATATTCTCTGAGCCTCAGATGTAGCGGTTGCATTTCAGATGCATCAGTTAGGGCTGGGCACCCCACAGTCATTTATTCTCCGCATTTTGACCATTTGTGGAGCTCTGTAATGGTCTCCATCTGCTGTGAAAAGAAGCCTATTTGGTAAGAGATGAGAGCGACACTTGTCTGTGAATTCAAGGATAAGTTTTTGAGAATATAGTTAGAAATTCTATTGGTTTAGAACAATGGCAGTGGTAGGTTCTTCTCTGGGGGGGTCTATGATCTTTCCAGACATAGGTATTTGGCTAGGTTTACAATATCAAGCATGATTTGCCCCCTACTGAGAGGATCTTTTAGTCCACAGCTACTTTAATCCCAAAGATAAAAACACCACTATTGCACCTTGGGTAATATCTTGCTAAGCCAGGCATTGTGATTTGTAGGCTTTACAGCTGGGTAGGACTATTGCTTGGTTTTCTCCTTTGGATGCTTACATAGTACTTTTCAATACTATGAGAGCTTTAAGTCAAAAAGAAGTTTACCAGGTCCATGCCAGCTCAATTCCTCTAAATCCAGTGTCCGAAGTGTGTGATGTCTTTAGCAATAGTGTTTTGTTATTGTTTTTATTGAATTTTTATGAATTTCACACAGAACATCTCAAACGTCTTTATACCTCTGTCCCCAATGGCACCCTCCCATAGCCCCTTCCCCCACTGGAACACATATACTCTGTCATCCCTGTTAAGGCCCACTGTGTCAAGTCAATGTCCTAGATATTCCCCCAGTATAAGTCCATCCACTAAGGTCTAGTCAGCCTATTTAGAGTCCCTTGTTTTAGGAAGATCAGCTCTTCTTCATCTAGCACCAATAAGTTGCCAATATTTCCTCAGATAAGATTGGGGTCTGCTGTTCATTTGCCCAGTTCTATGCTGGGTTACTGTCTGCCTGAGTTTGCATGGGACTTATACATGCTGACAACATTGCCATAGAATCATATGAGCAGGTTACAAGGAGCTTGTAGGACTCTGTTTCAACATGGTCATGCACCTCTTCCCTGGCTCTTACGATCTTTCCACCCCCTTAGCAATAGGGTTTTATTTTCAAGTTCTAGGAGATATCTAAGGGCAAAGGCAACAACTTATATTTGGGAGTCTCTTGGACTACCCTGACCAAAACTAGAAGGGATGTTTGAATAACTCACATCACATTCTTCCTGGGGCTCAGGGATCTTCAAAGAAGAGAGGGCAGAAAGACTGTAAGAGTCAGATGACTACAAGAAAACTGTTTTCCAGAAAGCAGGGCAGTTGCATATATGAACTCAGAGCTATTGTGACTGCATGTACAAGATCTGTTCAAGTTCAAGATGAACAAAATGGACAGGGAGATGAATACAAATTCCCTCCTCTAGCTAAGGAGCTATTGGCAGTTGACAGCTGCTGGGAGAGGAAGAGTCAGCTTTCTTCAAGGGTGTGCTCCCTTGTGGCCTGATGATACTCCAGACCAAGCTCCACACTCAAGAGTATTTGAACAACACAAATTGAACTTGATGGAGGACAAAAAAAGAACACAAGGTTTGAGTGGGTGAGGAGACAGGGGGATCTAAAAGGAGTTGGAGGAGGAGGGGGAAATGTGATCAAGATACATTATTTTAAACTCTCAAAGTATTAATAAAAATTCAAATGCTTAAATTCTTGCATCAAAACCACTTTGGTACATTTGAAAATATTGTTGAAAATATAACATTGAAGTGTTTTCTGGTGTTTCAGATAAAAATAATTTTTAAAATGTAGAAAGTCTCATGAAACACAAGAGTATAAACTTTGAGTCACAGTTGAAAACAAAATTATTAGTTCATTTTTTTAATATATGGCAACAATAATGTCAGTATATGAATTTATGAAATGTTATATTTATAAATTCTTTCCTGTTACATCTCCATCACAGCTTTGTCCTGGCCACGCCTAGACTGTCCAATGGCTCTCCTTGTGGATGGGAACTACACTGTGGTGACACAGTTCATTTTACTTGGCTTAACAAACAACCCAGTCCTTCGAGTCATCCTCTTCATCATCATCCTGTGCATCTACCTAGTAACAGTGTCTGGAAACCTCAGCACAATCCTTCTAATAAGAGTCTCCCCTCAGCTCCATCACCCCATGTACTTTTTTCTGAGTCACTTGGCTTTTGCTGATGTAGGCTATTCCTCTTCTGTCACACCCAATATGCTAGTTAACTTTCTAGTGGAAAGAAATACCATCTCCTACCTTGGGTGTACCATCCAGCTTGGTTCAGTTGTTTTCTTTGGATCAACTGAATGCTTCATTCTGGCTGCCATGGCTTATGATCGCTTCATGGCAATCTGTAATCCACTGCTTTATTCAACAAAAATGTCCGCACAAGTCTGTGCCCAGTTACTCCTAGGTGCTTACATAGGTGGTTTTCTCAACACGTGTTCTTTTACTGCATGCTTCTATTCTTTAGTCTTCTGTGGACCAAACAGAGTCAATCATTTCTTCTGTGACTTTGCTCCATTAGTAGAACTGTCCTGTTCCGATGTCAGTGTCCCTGCAGTTGTTCCATCATTTACTGCTGGCTCCATCATCGTGGTGACAATATTTGTCATAGCTGTCTCCTACATCTACATCCTCATCACCATCCTGAAGATGCGCTCCACTGAGGGCCGACACAAGGCCTTCTCCACCTGCACCTCCCACCTCACTGCAGTCACTCTGTTTTATGGAACCATCACATTCATTTATGTGATGCCTAAGTCCAGCTACTCCACTGACCAGAACAAAGTGGTGTCTGTGTTTTACATGGTGGTGATCCCCATGCTGAACCCCCTCATCTACAGTCTCAGGAATAATGAAATTAAGGGAGCTCTGAAGAGACAGATAGGTAGGAAAATATTTTCTTAATGATGTCTGTTATTTTTCAGGACTTGTTACAGTAATAATTCATATAAACTCTAAGACTGAGTAAATTGGTTCTTCAATCTAATCCTTAAATACAGTCACATTCTTGCTGCCTCAAGATCCTCTCATATCCAGTTCTTCTAACTGCAGTACTTTTCACCTGAGATATGTCAATGCACAGAAAACTAATATATCTAGCTCATATTTTCTGGCAGGGGCATTTAAAATCTACTCTACAAACAAATTTATTGCATATAATAAAATATGATTGACTATCCATCTGTAGCTATCTAGTATATCACCAGACAGTCATTTTATGTAATTAGAACTCTGTCCTCTTGACCTGCATCTCCCATTATTCACACCTCCTGCTCCTTATAACCAACAATGTGCTCCTCCTGAGTTTGACTTATGTGTATGAGTGTATTGCCTGCATGTATGTAAGTGCACTCCTGTCATGCAATACCCAGAGAGGTCAGAAGAAGGGGTTAGATCCCCTGGAACTGGATTTACAGACTGTTGTTCATCCACTGTAGTCTAGTCAGCCTATCTAGAGTTACGCCCTTCTGTGCAGCAAAAGAAACAACCAAGGAAGTGAAGAGGAAACCCAATGAGTGGGAGAAAATCATCTGCTAAACATCCAACAAAGGATTAATATCCAGAATATAGAAGAACTCAAAAAACAAAGAAACCAAAAAATAAATGACCTAGTTAAAGGGTGTGTTAAGGACCTGAAGAGAAAATTCTCAAATGAACAAATAAAGATGACTGAGAAGCACCTTGAAAAGTGTTCAACATCCCCAGTAATTAGAGAAATACAAATAAAATTTTCATAATTTAGCTTGAACAGTCCAATGACTCAACTTTGTGGTCAAGTCTTGATATTCTCTTTTCCATTTTATTCATTCTACTTGTGAGGATTTCTCCGTCATTTCAAATTGACTTATTGAATTTCTCAATTCTTTCTTCATTTCATTGGGTTTTCCTCAATGTACCTAGTCTGGGTGCAGGGGATCAGGATGCAGTGAGAAGGGTTAGGAGGCTAGTCTAGATATCTGATATAGGAAAAGCAGGAGTTGACCTAGGCCCAAGGATAGACGTGGGAGAGCTTGCAGAGAGAATGGAGCTGTCCAGGCTGCAGAAGAATCAACTGTTTCAAGCCTTCCATTTTTCTCTTTAGCATATTTTTACTTAGGTTTTTATGCATGGTGTGAAATAAGGGTGCAATTGCAAT